ATTTAAAAGAATAGTTAAATAAATGTTACTACACCCAAAAGTTTGTTTTTTTCAGTGCAGGTGATTAAAAAGGGACAGTTCATGCTGAAGTCTGAAACTAAATGTTTTACTTAACCATGTACCACTATAAGTATTGAGTATCGGCCAGAGCAGCTGTGGCTGGAGCGTACCACCGTCAGAGTGTGAATGTGTGAATGTCTGAAGTGTAAAGAGCCATGGGGTCCAAGTGGACTTGATAAGGTGCTAAATAAGTTAAAGACATTTACTATTTATCCTTATCACAACACCAATACTAATTTACAACATGTTGCAAACCATGAGAGCAGTGTGGAATATATTGATCCAAGAAACTCTTACTGATACTGAAGATTATCATTGTGTCAACCACACATTCTGTATAAGTTAAAAGAAATATTAATATAATAATTCTGACAAAGTTTAAAATCTTACAACAGCAGGTAAAACTATGATGATGCATAAATACTGTTTCAGTCACACTGTAATATTTTTTATTTCACTAGGAAAAGAGTTTTCTACTGACAATTTAAGATAAAACTGAGCTCAGTTTTTGTTACTGTGGTGACCTAACCAGGCTTAAATGAACCCTCCTGTGTGACTCATTCATTACCTGGCTGATCTGTTAGCTTCACTTTGAAGTCTAGATCAGGACTATTCAACTAAACTGCTCCTGGAGCCACAGTTACTGCTGGTCAACAGCTGAGGGGCCGAACATCCAGTAAGTAAAGTTTTTATGTAAATAAACCAAGTATTATAAATATTTGTTACCTTTGAATTAATTTATTTTGCTGCATTTAATCACGAATACAACATACAGAACCCTATAAAAGTAGTGATAATTACACAAGATCAAAAACAAAAAGAACACATTTTGCCTCCTTTTAGAYACAAATATTTTGACAGCTCTGACTTGTCAAATTTTTAAACCAATTTTATTTTCACTTTCATCATTTTATCTTCAACTGCTTGTAGTTTTMACTGTCTTGAGTGTTTATAGAAATGGTTTTAACCAGCTTATAGCCAAGATTCTGACRTTTCTGTAGATACCAAACATGTCTATGTTTAACTAAAATAACTTAGAGTGGTTAAAGTAGAAAACCAGGGGTTTGGGCTTAAGAGATGAATGAACCAACTGGTGGGCCGAACTTTGGCCACCAGTTGAATAGCCCTGGTCTAGACTCTAGTTCTTTGTTCAGCCACAGAACCTCAGGAGCATAATGGAAAAATGTTTGTTTTTTGTSGGGGAGAGGTCACCTCCCAATAAATGTCATTTTGGACATTTTAACTACTCACTTTTACACAATACTTACTTTTAATACTTAAGTACAATTTACATTTTTTATTTTATTTTATTATCCTTTATTTATACAGGAAAATCTCTTGAGACTCATTGTCTCACAAGAAATATCAGAAATTTATTTGTGACACTTAAATGTCAGATCTTTTTGARCTTTTACTTAAGTACTGTTCTTAGAGAAGATTAACTTTTGCCAAAGTAATTTTATGTTAAGATACTTTTACTCAAGTATCACTTTGAGGTACTTTATACAACACTGCAGACGGTTCTATGTTTTTGGAAGTAGGACACAGCTAACAGTAACAACCCAATGTGTACACATGATGCCCACTTTACATATCTGCCTGCCCCTTCATAGAAGCATGCTTAGAACTGGCCCTGGWCTTGACTTAACTCCATTCAGTCAGTGAGTGGCCCTATGTAGAAAATAACACAAACTGACATTAGGTTTTGTTGCTAGTAGTCAGCYTTATAAGTCATCATCTTAATCTGAAACACTTACATCCTTTAATCCCTAACATTTTCAAAATGTGCATGCTATAAATAAATGCATTTATTATCTGAAATTCTTGATTTCTTTATTCTATTTAAATTTGTTTAAAGGTGTTTTCACGCCTAATAGTCAGCAGACTCAGTTCGATTGGGGACCAAAATTGATATATTTTCAGCTAGCTATTGTGGTTCAACTTTACACTGCATTGTGTCAAACAAACCAGACCCTTTGRGCATACTCCCTCACCTGTGGTGGCGCTGCACCAAGAACCACTGAAGGAAATGACACAAAACCTCTGAAGACACTGAGCACAACTTCCTTCTTCASAAAATGTAAACAAACATGGACTTTGTCTCAGTTAATGGGCTGCATCCTCATGAGTGCACATTTGTCTGCCACATACAGTATGTCACTGCCCCAAGTGCTGTCCCAATTCAAAGGCTTTTTATCATGCAACCAAGGACTGTAGTCCACAAGATCTCGAAGACCAAGGATGCATCCAAGTATCCTTCCCAACAGAGTATATCCCAGGATTCAGTGTGCCAACAGCAAACTAAACAGAGAAACAAAAACAGTGGAGTTTTAAATTTTTTACCAAGTCGGATTCATCATTGTGAAATTATTCTTCCAGTGAAAAGACATGTGAATGCATGTTCCAATGCATTTTAAGTCTGAAGGCACTTGATATAAAACGAACTATTATGGTAAAAGGGTAGCACATGTTAACGCAAACATACATCAAGCAAAGGCCAGACCGTCTCATTTCACTGCAGTTTTATGCAGCCTACCCAAACTGGGAAGGATGTAGCCTACATGGCGCACGTAGGCTACCCACTCATGAGGATGCAGCCCATGAATTGAGACACAGCCATGGAGTGATATCAGATTTTAAGAGTTGTAGGACTTCTGTTTTAAGCAAATATTCCAATTACTTGGCCAGCCAGCATGAGGGGAAGGTGATGCAGAACTGTGGAGATGCTGTTTTTTAACACAAGGCAGCTGAGATGGCTCCGTATGAGGCGGTGTGCACTAAGATAAGATAAGATAAGATAAGATAAGATAAGATAAGATAAGATAAGATAAGATAAGATAAGATAAGATAAGGCACGGCACGAGAATATAAGATAAGATAAGATGCAATAAGAAAAGATAATATGTGATACGATAAGATGAGATATGATAACACACAATACGATACGATAAGATTTGATAACACACGATACGATACGATAAGATAAGATACAATAACACACAATAACACACAATACGATACAATACAATAAGATAAGATAAGATACGATACGATAAGATACGATAACACACGATACGATAAGATAAGATAACACACGACACGATACGATAAGATAAGATACGATAACACACGATACGATAAGATAAGATAACACACGACACGATACGATAAGATAAGATACAATAACACACGACACGATACGATAAGATAAGATACAATAACACACGATACGATAAGATAAGATAACACACAATACGATACGATAACACGATAACATATGATAAGATACGATGCAATACGATACAATACAATAAGATAAGATAAGATACGATACGATAAGATACGATAACACACGATACGATAAGA